GGGACACAGCCGGCCCGCCCACGAGGGCAGCCCCCCCTCCTGCCTCTGCACCTCCTCACCTTCCCTGCGATGCCAAACAGCGTCAGGTACTCAAACAGCAGCTTCATGTCCCCCAGACCCTCCTTGGCCAGCTTGTTCTGGGACAGCTTTGGGTCCTGGAGAAGCCGCTCAATCAGGTCCAGGCCACCTGCGGGAACGAGCCATGCCTCAGGTCTGCCAGTGCAGCAGCACCCGCAACGGTGGGCCCGGCCAGCCGTGTACGTGCCTTGCACCCCTCCGTCGCTGGCCCTGCCTGGCCTGGAAGAACAAGGCCAAGGGCTCGGCCCCACAGTGCTCACCGTGAAGCTGGACATACTCCCCGATGCGATCCGCAGCCTCGGGAGAGAGCCCCTTCTCTCCTACCATCTCGCTCCTCACTTCTTCCCACGGTATCTGCAAGAGGAGAGAACATCAGCCACTGCTCCAGGGATGTGGTCTCTCCTGCGGAAGGTCTCTGGTGGTTCTGCCCAGTACAGATGAACAGACATATCTGCTCTCAACAGATCTTTACACAGCAGAACCTCATCAGTGTCAGTGTGGTTAAGAGGTGTATGAGAGAAGCAGCAGATCAGAGATCTCAGAGCATGGTCATATGGTCATAACTCCATTTCCTGTACCTCTGCACAGTTTGCATCCCAACCCTGCAGTCAGCAAAGCTGCCCAAAAACTAGAAGCTCTAGGACAAATACTTTGGTTTTGATTTCTGGCCAGAACTGAACATCTGTCTGTAAAAGCACCAAGTTTGAGAGACATCTTGCTACTGTGGTTTCCCTGGTTAGGTGCTTAGTCATAAACACCAGTCAAGAAAGTGTTGGTGGTCATGCCTACCACCTGGAAAGGTGTGAGGAGATGGCTGGGTAATGCAAACACCAAAGCAAGCAGAATACACTGACCAAGGAGTCAAAGAGAACCAGTCTTAATCACATCCAGCTGCACTGCAATAAATTACAGCATTTCAGTATGAAAACAATTAAATTATCCCATTCTAAAAAAGCCCAGTTCTCCCTTCCTATTGCTCTTCCATGCACACACAGCCTCAAAACCTACACTTTGGTCCTGCCTTTGCCATAGATCTCACTGCTAACAGGACTTTAAGTGCGCCTTCCTCTAGTTGGCTTCATTCAACCATCAGATGAGACCTCCAAAGTGAAACGCAGCTCATCCTTGAACAAAGCAATGTGAACACACGAGACGAGATACAAGGCCACTTTGTTTACCAGGGTTTCACAGGAAGGTTAGGAGCACTCTTTTAAGCAGTCAGCGCATGGTGTTCCCCATGTGACTCTCAACACACACAAAAATTCACCTCCAGATTCTACTTTGGATCCCGAGCCAAGAAAACTAAGTTTTCAGATCTTCCTTAGCTGTTAGTGGAGCACTGTATACACATTTATAGACAGATCTGCAGCATTTTTATATCTGACTAGGGCCTACAGTCAAGACAATCACCTGCAAATAAAAAGTACCTACACTGGCACCTTTCCCTCCTCCCAAAGGGCCACATAAGGTCCTGAATCCCTCAGAGACAACAGCCAGTGCTCTTGAGGCGACTTGCTGAGCACAAGCCTGTAGGTACCTCCTGCCTTGTGTCTTACAGGAGCAGCTGCACGTAGAGGGGGCTGTTCTGCGTCACGCCAAACCTGAGTAAGCCGTACAAACAGCGATGTCAACGCACAACACGTTTTGTACCTGTACTACATGCCTAAATCAGCAGAGGTGTGAATGAAGTGACCAGCAGAAGAGATATTATGGCACTGAGCAGCATGTTGTCCCTGTGACCGTGTCCACCCTGCAAGAATGCTGCACAGTCCGGGCCAGCCCCAAGGAGCCCTGTTCCTCGCAAAACATGCTTGCACCGATGGCAGGCACAGATGAGCGTGAAGACATGCAGCGCAACGCCAGACAAACCAGCCTTCCCCTGCTCAGGAGGCAGAAATGTGCTGCTGGGGTTATTTTTCAGGTCTGTGTTTTTCATCTCTTACTCCTCCTCACTCTGAATGCTTTTCTCTATTTCCTGGTAAAATATAGAAACCTCATCCACCTCGCTTCTCTGCTGTCTCCCTGCTGCTCCTCATCACCTCCTGAGGGTCCCACAAACAGCCAGCACACGCTTCTGTCCGGTGGTGCCCTGATCACGCTGAAACAGCCTGGCCAGCAACACGCACTGCAGACTCCGTGTCCTCAGCAGGGATGCTAGACATCACATCGCCAATCAAGAATAGCACCAGCTTGCAGGACAGTACTTATGAATAGGGTCCTGGGCAACACCACAACTCTGGCAGCCTACTCACCTATGGATTTCCATTTAACTCAGCCCTGTCACCTGCAAGCTAACTGCCTTACAGACTGATTACAGACTATAAATTATGACTGCGCTTCTCTACTCCTGCATTCCCACAGAGATTTACCATTTATGTCACATTCACCTTGCAGCTGAGGTCTGAAATTTTAGTAAATGTTGGATTGGATGATCTTTCGAGATCCCTTCCAAGCTGGGCTGTTCTATGATTCCAGGACACAACTGTGACTCCTCACACCACCCAACCAAACCTGATTCATTTGAAAACGTTTTTCAATGCCCCCGCCCAATCTGGGGGCAGGTTTTCAAGATCCTGGTTCAAAAGTAGCAGCACCTTAAGAAGGCTAAGGTTTGGGATGTTGAACTTCCCATGTGAAGAGCATTTTTCCCTCCCTCCTTTCCATTTGTCAGGACCTTGTGGAATACTGGAGAAGAAAGCACAGGATCCAGTTTTCCTATGTGACTGCTGGGCCCTCCGTGCCTCCCCTCCAGAGAAAGGGGGAAACAAGAACAACTCGATATTTATCAGCATTTTCCAGCTAGTTCTCACGGTAAGAGCAGCCCAGATGGACAGAGACTCACTGAAACTCCAGCAGCAGCAGTTGCAGCCCAGGGCTCCAGCCCGTACCTTATCCAGTTTGTCAACGCTGGAGCAGATCGTTCGGAACTTGCTGTCTGGGACACCACAAACTGCAAACATCCCATCAAGGATGCGCCGATCGTTGACCTGGGGGAGAGGGAGCAAGTCATTAACTATGAACTCAAACAGATGCTTCAGCTGTGTCCAGTTTCTCTCCCCTCTAATTTTAAGCATGGAACAGAACTAGCAGATGTCTGCCAAGATTTTTTGCAACAGAGTAGAAGAACCAAGGGGGCCTATGAACCCTCTCATGTACACATGTAAAACCAGGTCAGGAACAGACCATGGACTAAAGGAGATGAATTCGGTGCCTTACCCTGCTCTCTCAGTATAAGAACAAAGGGACATCTGATTATGTTAAAACCTCCCTACTGATTTTTTTTTTTTGATAGTATAGTGAATTCCATAGCTTAATTATGCTCTGTAATAGCAGGTAATTGAGGCCAAAGGCTCAGCTGGATTCAACATTTCCATGGGTAGTGAGAACACCTACAATTAAATTACACAGAAACAAAGACTGCTCAGGAGTTTGTAATCCTCCAGCATCAACATGAACCAGACAGTGGCTCATGGAGGACAAGCATAACCACAGGCTGGTTATTCTGCTGCTCCCCATTGCAGGGCTGCCTTCTTATCCTCAAAGGCATCCGCTTTCACCACTGCCCAAACACACAGTAGCTGGACAGGCAGTTCCTGTGCACAGCTCTTCAGCTCATCCCAGACAGGTTCAAGGGCAGGTCACTGCCCTCCTACCCAGTGGGGGATACACGTAGGAGTGCAACACCCAGTCCGCACTGCGCACCTCCCCTGCTAAGCCCAGCAACGACCCAGCTCTGAGTGCCTCTCAGGGATCCCATCACCCTCCTGTACGTCAGACACTCCTACCACTGTACACCCTTCCCCATCCTGACCTGCACACCCAGCACCATTTGCTGCCACCACCACCACGATAACAGCGGTGTTTTGAAACTCAAGCTACAGTAGGGCACGACTCCTCTTCTGGAAAAGGCCTTAGACCCAGAAAGGACTTGGTGGGAAGGCAGGAGTCTGCAGACAACACTGCACTGAGGAGATGTCCCTACTAAGGGGCCATCGGGAGCTGGGACAAGGGCAGGGATCCTGGGCCTGTTTTACTGCAGGCAGTGAACACGACACTCTCCTGGGGGGTTGCCACTGGAAGTTTTGCAGGGGACTGTGGTTAGTGCTAGAGAGAACTCTGCTAACTGCAGCCTCAGGAAACCTCCCCGCATTCCAGCTAAAGGCAAGTCTGAGCAGAGGCCCAGCCTTTTAGCACATACACCATGAGGAGGCAGAGAGTTGGGATGAACTTCTCTATCTGGGCTTACAGGCGTTAAAGTGGGATCAGGTGCTGCTGCGTAAAATCACAGGAACAACGACCACTCCTTCCCACCATGGCACATAGAAACCCGCCTGGTCTCACCTTAATGAGAAAGTCCCCGAGCTGCAGGTCACTCAGGATCTCGTGCACGATCTTCAGGCACTCGGCATCGGGAATCATCGGGTCGAACTGCCCGGCGATGTCAAAATCCTGGGGCACAGGAAAAGGCAGTGAGTAATTCAGCACCGCTGGCGTGGCTGCAGCAATACAGCTTCAACTCTGTTAAACAGCGGTTTGCTTACAAAAGGCAACAGAAATGGGACGTAAGGGAGCACGAGCCCTCGCCAACAGGATTCAGAAGGGACAGGATGTGGGTTATGACCCTCTTTCATTGAGGGCAGCAGTGCTCTCGTGTCCACTGCATTGCAAAGAGTTCGTATACTGTGTTGGGGCCAGTGCAGTTTGCAAGAAGCCATTCTGCTTCTGGAGGTATGTAACCTGCTCCCCGCCTCTGACACAGCAGTTTACTGTGTGATACACTTTGAAACAGAGATCCTTGAAAAGCAACAGAAAGGAGACAGTAAAGTGATCATCAGCAGTAAATAAATAGAACAAAGGACCCAGAAAGGGGAGGAGAGAACTACTTATTATTTGGTATGACCTAAATGCCAAATGCCTTGATTCTTAGGATGTTCTTTTTTGAATACATACACTCATCAAGTAAATGATCAGGGAAGGATACAAGAGAAGCGATCTCAAACGAGGCAAAACCAAAAAGTTTCAACTGCCAAGACAGAAAAAGAAATCAGAAAGCCTGAGTGGTGTCCACCATAGATTACCATATGAACTAGCACGTAGAACTAAAACCCAGCAGGAAGATTTTTCAAGAGGCTGGTACCTGTGACTGGAAAATAGCAAAGACAGTATCAATATTCAGAGAGAAATAAAACACAGAAGGAACAAGAGACCTCTTATTTGACTCTCATTTATGAATCCCCAAATGCAAAGTCTTCAATGAAATTTTGAGTACAAGAATAATTTTAATTAAGTGGGTAAATTTCAACATGACTTCACCAAGCTTCCAAAATAAATTGGGGCAATGGAGGAGGAAAGAGATGAGATCATGTCAGTTAATCCCCAATCAGCTGAGTGCAAAAAAGGCTGATGCAATCCCCACAGAAGTTGGGCAAGGTCTGGTAGAATCAGGAAAGTGCCACTACCACTGTACGTGGCACAGGTGAAATCTCACTGAAAAAACCCAACCAAAGGCTGGTGAATGGTATTTAAGAAAAGATGAAGAAAAAGCTACTAGACTGAGCAAAGAAGCAAAGCATCTCCAGGGAGAGAAGGTAATAAAGCTTGATTTACATGGCCTAAGGAGGGGAAAATTTCTCTAAAAATTTCCCAAATGTTTATCTGGGAGAGGGGAAGAATCCGTATCACGTGATGACAGCTACCGTTTAAACAGCTGCACTTGCACAAGAAGTAAACTATCAGACATAAGTTTAGCCTGGATATTAGAACACTATTTCTAGCTATCCTAGGAGTGAGATCTTGGAACAATCTTTCAGATGAGATAGCAGGGAAAGACCTCAAGTTGTCTGGAAATGGGAGTTTACCAAGCTGGAGCTGGAAGGTTGTATGATGAAACAGGAATATTCTCAAAGAAGAATTTGTTTGCAATATGAGGCCCTGGGGACTGCGTTAGTACAGCAGAACAAAGCCATTCCTCGGGGCTACCACACTCGTCTGAGAAAGCCACTAAGGAAATTGCTTTCTTACCTGTTCTGCTATTTGGCCCCTGGGTTTTTCCCTTCCTTTGAAATAAAGATTGACTAAGCATGGAACAGAAGTAGCATATGCTACAGCTGAGTCACTCGCCTGGTTCGTGTGTCCCACTTACATAGCCAGGAGTTCGACTGTTGCCACATTTGGGATCAGAAGGAAATATTTCCTCCCTACCAGGCTGGAAAGCAGTGTGGCATGGAGCAAGGTGCTGCCCTGCTCCACAGTGCGGAGCAGGCCAGATACCTGGGGCACCTGCGGGCTGCATTACAAAGTTCCCTGATACACCAGCACCTTGTGTCACAGCCATCATCCTCACTCTCCCACGCTCAAGCTGTTTTTTCACACCCATAAGGGCACGCTAAGGGTTTCCACAGCCACAGGGAAGGCCGCTGCAGGGTAATGCAGCCTTTGGTCCTACGTTTTTATGGTGCTACTTCCCCACAAGCACTGCCCAGTCTACAGCCTCACTCAGTAGTGTCCCTGTCAACAGCCAAACTCACACACTGGTAGAACTCCCTGTAGCGGCCCCTGGTCATGGCCGGGTTGTCTCGTCTGTAGACCTTAGCGATGTGGTAGCGCTTAATGTTGGTGATCTTGTTCATCGCCAAATAGCGAGCAAAAGGCACCTGAGACGGGAGGGTTAAGGATGGGAACAGGGAGGGATCACCCCACCCAGTTATCAGTCACAGGCAGCGCTGGGTCCTCACTATCTCCCCCACACCCAGCACAGTGTGGCGCACACCCATGGGGCAAAGCAACTGCTAAGGGACGGCTGGACTTGCCACAGCTCCCCAGGGCCTCCACAACTGTCCAAGACACTGCCCACACATGCTGCTGTTAAGTGTCCCTACAAGCACATTCCAGCGCCACCTTAGGCTGGATCTCAGGCACATGTGGGCTGGATCCCGCAGCAGCCTAGTCTGGGTACCCTGCTGTAGGAGAAACCCTGCTCAAGCCAGATCCTCCTTACCCCCGCGTACAAGTGTTACTTCGCCGAACAGAAGCAACATACAGTAAATAACTGAACAAGGGTTCTGCACCCACTGAACTACACTGCCTGCTCACGTTCTCCCTGTTGGTGCCAGGTCAGAGCCAAGAGACTGTCCTTCCTCCTCCTCTCTTGCCCTCTGGACAGCGCTGCCCCAAAAGGAGGGCAGCAAAGGTGATAAGACCCCTCAGCACTGGCTGTGGCAGGATACTGTCAGGTCATAACGCAGGGACAGCAGTTCTCCTCCTTGATCTTTCAGATCATAGATGAGCTTCGAGTCTTCACCATATTTCCCTGTCAGCGTCTCCTACAACAAAAGGACACAAGAACAAACAGCATCTTCAGTGACAGGGGATCAGCCCTAGAGCACACAGAAAACAATGAGAGAAAGGGAGGACACCCGGGAGATGGAAAAAGAAAACTCAACCCTCAACACGTTGCAAGCTTTCAATTGCAGGATCCTCATCAGCTCAGCCAACTTGCTGTGTCCTCACTCACCTTCAGCTCAAACACTGGCGTATCAATGACTTCTGCTCCGTGGCGCTTGAAGCAGGTGATGATCGCGTTGAAGACTCTCTCACGAATGGCCATTTGCTTGGGGCTGTAGTCCCGTGTGCCCTGGGGTGAGGTAAGGGAAAGAAGAGCAAAGGAGATATTGGGTTAGAGGCATGCATTGGAGACAAACGTGAGAGGTGATACAAAGAAGCTATCATACTGCTCACAAAAGCCAGAGAGATCAGGTCCAGACACCGGATATTCAGAGAGGGGCTAAAAAGCAGCACCAAATAATACTGGAAAACGTCAGGACACAGCTCAGCCATGCCATGGTCTGACTCAGGAGTTTCACCATGCAGGAAACAGAGGAGCTAACACAGCTCCAACATCCAGAGTTCAGAACTTCCAAGGATGACAGCACAGCTAGGATGTGTCCACAGCTCCAACTCAAACACTATAGCCAGACTCTTGCATAACGAGCCACCCCGAGAGGTGGAATCAGGGGACAGGCGTGCTTTGAAGCTGTGGAACAAGCAGCAGCTCTACAACTTCCAAACACACATGGAGAGAAATCATATTTTCAAAGTGCAATACCTGTGACGTGCCCATCTACTGTTCACTAGGATGGGCTGCCTTTTAATTTCTTCACTATTAAGAGTCATTGAATATTTCAATGACTGCCTTTAGGCTCTCAGCAACACATAAATCACCGTTAATTAACTAGACCTAGACCTCCCACTTTCATTTTCTAAGGACTGGCGGTTAGGCAGGAAGAAGCAGAGAGAGCAGGGACTTCATAACACCCCACCTGCAGGTCGCACAGCAAACAGCAGCTCTCAGCCGTACACTGACGTGTCTGAGACAGGCTGGCAACACAAGCTGTGCTTCCCTGGCACTCACAGGGCTACAAAATCCTCTCTCCGCATCTTTAAACACTGAAATACCCTTCCACTTTCCAGGTCTCACACCACTATTACATTTACCAAAACATACAATAAAGGAAATGGACAAGGGAGACAGTTTTGAGGCATTTCCTAAGCCAGTAGCATTAACAGAACCCGGTTTATTTGTGAGCAACGTTCACAACTGTCTCCATGCCACAGCATGGAAGTGCAGTAAGTCTCTGGTCAGCTGCTACTGATGCAAGATCCAAGTTACAAAAAATGTCAGGATAAATTGCATTACAGACGCTATACTCCGGGGCCTGGAGACTGAAAAGCTACCCCTGCAGGAATGGTCCTTCTGCAAATGGACACAGAAATGTCGGCAGCTGGCCAGACCTGCTCAGCAAATGGGATTACTCACCCTCACAGACTAAGACCAAAAGCCACAGGACCTTTCTTGCTCCCCACATTTCAACATGTGCTGAACATTCCTGGCAAGCACTGCTGGGCATCTAGGTTTCTTTGGCTGGCTTACACCTTGCCGTTCCCTCACAACGAGCCTCACACCAGCAGAGGTGCACTTCGCAGCACTCCGTGCTCACCCAGCCTACCAGCAGCTTCATCTGCTCTGTCCAGGCTAACGGGGAACAGGACCTGCTCGAGGATCCTTGATTTGCGAGAGCCAATGTCTGCAGGTACTAGTGGGGTCAGTGCTACAAGAGCTGTAGAGTCCTAGCCCTAAACTCATTGGGATGATGCAAGTCATGACCTTACTTCAAATAATGCAATCTAGGCAGATATGAGACCTCACACTGGGCAGCTACAATAAAGCTTGACCAAAAGGGAATTTAATTTCCTGACCCCACCAGTTAGTGGTTGGCTTGTCACAAAAGCACCAGAAAACCTTAAAGTTAGGAGAGTATCTGGGTCAGATGCTGTCAGGGATGTTTCCACCCCTCTCTCCCCTTCTGCTAAAAGCAAAAAGGGAAATGGAAATGAGAACAAAGACAGGCAAGTCTGTGCTGAGATTTTGGACACACAGGTGTGGGGAGGTGCTGCATGTGCACACTGGAGTAGGTCGTGCATACAGAGACACATGAGTGCGTATGCTGGGGGATGTTACCTTCGGGGTCTTGAGCACAAATTTGTGTTTCCCCTCTTCTCCTCCCAGTTGAGCCTTCATCTCCAGCAGCTTCGCCACCTCCTTTGCGATCTGGGGAGGGAGGGAGCTAGGGGTAAACCTTTCTGCCAGGCCCAGCCCACAGGCCTTCCTCAATACCTGCAGCCTCAGCATTCCCAGTACACTCAGGTTCCGCAGACGATCCAATAGCCTAAGCCTCAATACATCTGCTATTCCCAGTGTCCCACAGCAAGCAGAGGGGCACTCCCTGCCTCTCTCCGGTACCCCCCACTCCAGCTACAAGCACCCCAATCTCAGCACCCCCAACACCTCCACCATTCTCTGACTCCCAGGCCCTCCATCACCCTCAGCATCTGCCTGCCCAGTCCCCACGATCCCGCCCCGCCGCCCCAGCTCCCCCAGGCCCAGCACTGCCAGCTGGTGCCACACGCACCCCGGCATCGACACTCCCAGCATCCTCCTCCCAACCCAACACCCCCAAGCACCCTTCTCTCCAATCTAACACCAGTATCACCAGTTCCTGCTCCCAGTCTCCCCAGGCACCTCAGCCCCTCTGCTTTCCACCCCAGCCCAGTACTCCCATCCTCCCCAGCACCCCTCTTCCCAATGCCACCAGCCCAGCAACACCTACACCAGTCCTCCCAGTTGCCTACGACCCCCTCCCCCTACC